CTGATGTATTCCATTTACATAGATCTGTGGCCCTTATCTGCACATTTTCTTTTTGTCAAATAATAAGGATTTCTAATCCTTAGATATGTTTAGGGGAGCCTAAGATTAAAAAAAATGGTTAGGAAAATCCTTTTCCTTTTTTGGGTGCATTAATAAGATCATTCAGAAAGTCTCTTCCAGTTGCCCATCTTCTGAAACTTTTCATTGCAGATTGTGTTACCGTGTTTGAATTCTACAGATCTAATGGGGTTTCCATTTTAGAAAATGGGGTGGTCTTCAATGTATATTTTGATAGGGTCATGAAAATCATTTGGGTATAATTCCTTTTTCCTTTATGTTGATTGGAATGTTTAAAATATGTTCGTCTGTTGAGTGGGTCACATAGAAGACTTACTGTTGAACAGGCTGCTTTTCTGTATTTAAAATTACTAATCTGAGTTGTTTCTTTTAAGGGAGCGACAGTATCTGAAATTAGAAAACAATATCGTGCTCTGTCTCTGAAATACCATCCAGATAAAGGAGGAGATGAAGTTATGTTTATGAGGATTGCTAAGGCTTATGCAGCGTAAGTTTTCTTGCTTTTTCACAGAATAAAACTTGGTGTGGCAGAGGGAAGAAAAACACAACTTTGGGTTATTGGCAGAGACTGATTTTTTTTGACATTGTATAAAATATAATTCAAATATATACCGTATTTACCTGAATCTAAGATGACCCTGAACTTAAGACTATATCCAAATTAGTAGATTATAAACATAGACAATTATACGTTTTGTTTTTTAATTTTCCATGTCCAATTTAGTTATTGGAGCATCATCATAAATTTACTGCTGCCACAGGGAAAGTAGTAGCAGCAGTCATGTAGCCAACTCCTCACCTCTAGTGTCTTCCCTGTTCTACCACTTGTTTCCCCTTTTGTGCTTGTCCCCCTCCCCCTTTACCTTTGCAGCTGCTCTTGCTCCATCTCTGCTGGGGCCATCAAGCGCCCAGCCAGGCCAGGCAGTAGCAGTGATTCTGGCTTCAGCCTCTAGCCCCACTTGGGGTCAGGGCTGAAGTCATTCTGCTCTCCCTCTCTGCATCCTTTTCCCATGCTTTTCCTATACATCATGCTTCTTCTCTGTGCTTCTTTTGCTCTGCACTCCACTTCCCTCATGCCCTATGCATCTCTTTCCTTGCACTCCCTTCACCCTGAATATACCTTTACCCATGCTTCCTCTGCCACCCTTTCCCCTGGCGCTGCCCCCTGCACTGTGCACCTGCTTCTCACAGCCTTTCCCCAAGTTTTTCTCCCCACACTGCTCACCCTTTCCCAGCTTTTCACTTGCCCTACATGCCCTTTTCCCAGTTTGGGGAAAGGGTACATGTTGCAGGGTAGGACTTAATGATCTTCTTGAATTATTCTGTAGTTTGTTCTTGGCTTCTCTTTGGAGCAGTGATTCTCAATCAGGGTGCCATGGCACCCTGGGTTGCTTTGACATGCTTTTAAGGGTGATGCACAATATCAGCACTGCTAGATTTGCAAGCAACTATATGTGATTCACAAGATAAGACCATAAATTTAAAATAGGAGTCCATAATGCCCAAAACATTCTGACTTGCGGTCCTGTTAAGTTCTTTGCAACAGAAAAACTGCTCTATTATTATTCCTGTAGTCAAAAAATGAGTGAAAGCTAAGAGCTGCCATTTTCCAAGTATAAAAAGGTTGAGAACCACTGCTCTAGCACATCATTTCTAGTCATGCTTCTGCCTACAGTTTTTGTCCTTGAGATATGAGGGGTAATGGTGTCCACACAGACTGTATCTTCCAGTGGTGGCCTACCTTTTCACACTAAGACGACGTTTCCCAGAATCTAAGCATGTAATCCAGTGTTGTTCAAATAGTAGATCTTAATACAGCTTCACTTTCTTTGTCATGAGTGACCATCCACACAGCTGGCAGAATCATTGGCACAAGTGGCGTTTATGGAATATTTTTGTTTGACCTTCATGTCTTGTGTACATTAAAGTGACCATTTAAGATGAATGAATTGTTAAAAGTGATCATTAGAATAGATTTTCACTGAAAAACAAGAGACTGGTTTCTCAGAGAAAGAAGACTGAAATGAACTTCCACAGGAGCTAAGGACCAGCATGGACATCACCATACTCTTAAGTAAAAGACAGTACAATCAAAATTAACTTCTTTTAACATACATCCACACACACAACTGCATGTTTTAATACATGTGTGAGCATATAAAAAGTATTTCCAAAACAAAATATTTATTGAACACACTTCTCCCCTAGGAAGAGAGCAATACGATGGTTATTTAACATGTTAGTTTAATACCTTCATAAACTAGTAGGAGTAGAGCAGTGATTCTCAACCAGCATGTCAGCTATATTCTTTGAAGGGTGTGGGAGATGTGAGGAGATAAGCAGACAAATTAAACAGATAAGCACAGGCTCAGGCATGCACCTGCCTGGATGATTCTGTACCACCACTGCCCAGCCTCTCTGCAAGCACATAAGCACTGTAATAGATTAAAATTGGATGCCACTCAGTTCACAAAAGTTATGGAAGGGGCCTTGACTCTAAATGAGGAGTGCCTTGAGTCCAAAAAGGTTGAGAACCATTGGTATAGAGCTAACTGAACCTTATCAAGCTTATAAAGGACTTTATGAAAGCTATGGTACGTGGGGTTTTTTTTAGATGGCATTTTTACGTATTGTTTTAGAAAAAAGCCTTATGAATGCTGTGTGGGTTGTGCCATAGATGTGTCAGGACAAAGATGTGGACCAATGAGGATAAAAACCAGAATATTCAGAGTTTCTGTGCCGAACTGTTTAAATGCTGTTATTGCATTATGGTATGCCCTGAAATGTCTCTGCTTATTAGAGAAACATTTAGAGCAGAGCATATCAATTAAAATTGTGTTCATTTTGCTGAAGACCTTAATAGAACTTGATGTGAAACAAGGGGGATAAATCTATACTGAGTGGTTACTTGGCACTAGAAATTGAAAAACCCTACTTAGGAGAAGGGTATTTCTGAAATGCTCCAGTTGCAAGGAAACTAGAGACCTTGGCTTAGCATAATAGAGGTAATGCTGTTTTTAAAACAAATAAAAATCACAGTGTCTTGAAAAAAGCAAGACAGTGTATTATTTGTAGCAACTTTTGATGGAAATAAAAACTTTCTATTAAAATGAAAATTAATTAAAGTAACATGTTTTCATTCAAATCCTCTGAATTGACCTGGAGACAAACAGGACTTATTAGCCCAGTTTCTCTGAACAAGGGTGGTTTCTATTGACTTCAGAATTACTTTGAAGTTACCAGCTTCAGATGTGTGATATATTGCCACTTCCACTGCATGGTTCAGGGAGTAAGGCCTTTTAAAAAAAACATTTTTCACCTCTTTCCTGAACATGTGTAAACAATTCTAATGTGTGTTTGTGTTTGTTACAAATAAAAAGGAGACCTGTTATCAGCATGTTTGGGGAGATGGAAGCTGCCCAGCGGAAGTAAAGCAGCATCTTACAATACAGAATTTTTAGTATGGTAGTCTAAAACTGAGCAGGCCTTGCTTTTAAATTTAAAATGAGGGGGACTTAAGTTTAAAATCTGGGGACCCCTGGAGGGGGCACTTGCCCAAGCTGCACGTTTCCTGAAATGCACATTAATTGGTGAGGGTGGCAGGGCAAATTGTGAGAGGGATCACAAACCCCACTTCTGGATGGGTCACACCACTCAAAAAAATGCCCTCCATTGGTTCACCCTTGTTCACCAAATCCTATACAACTGGGATCCCTGTAGAGAGGCTAGAAGGGGGTAGTTCTTAAAAGGTCCCATGATAGCTCATGCTTCCTCTGTAGCTGAAAGCAACATGCTATCTGTGAAGGGAGCATTCTGGGCTACAGAGGCAGGACTTCCGGAGTCTCTGGGGCATGGGCCTTGCAGCCATGAGGGTAGGATGTCAGTGCTATGACGGTGGGACTTTTGGAAACTTTGGAGGCTGACTCTTGTGGCTAGGAAGGCAGCACTTCTGAAGACCCGGGGTAGGGCTTGTGGTTAAGGGGGAAGAGCTGGGTTAGGATGGTGGGATTCCAAATTTTGGGGCAGGACTTTTTCTTGTGGGGGCTTTCAGGTTCAAAAATTTGAAGTGCTTCCAGGCAAGGGGCCTCTACTGACAAGATGGCAGCACTTCTGATTGAGGGGGTGGAGGTTGCTTATACTGGGGAGGGAACAAAAATAGAACTGCTTCCAGGGCAAGGGGAGGGACTTCTCTTGTCAAAGGAGTAAAGTTTTATTAATGGTAGACCCCCTTTGTAATACAATGTGGGGATGAGGAGAATAAATGGAAGTACTTTCAGTTCAAGGGGAGGGACTTCTTGTGGCAAAAGCTGGGGGGTGTCAGGAGCCAGGACTTATGGTGCCAAGATGATGGCAGATAAGAACATAAAAAGTGCCATACTGGGTGACATCTAGTGTTCCCTCTAGCGCAGTATCCTGTCTCTGACAGGCACAAGTGGAGACCTACCAGTCCATCTACTCATTGGCCTCCTGCCTGGATCAGCTGGGTCAAGAGCTCTGCCATGATGGTGGGTGATAGTGGCTTGCTCCCACTCATGCTTCAGGGCATCTGGTGGAACACAGGCTTGCTGCTCTATTTGGGGGCCTACTTGTCCCCCAGCCACCCTTCCCTGCTGGAGAACTGGGACCATCTGCAAGTCAGAGTATCTGAGTGGCTGCAGGAATGGATGGGACTCTGCACACGTGCTCCATTCATGCGTTCCGTCATCCTGTCCTCACGTCCTGCCCAGACACCAAGTGACGGGATACTCTTGGTGAGGATCACTCCGTCCTGGATCAGCCTGTATTCCATTCTCAGCCCATGAGCCACCAAGGACCTGAGATGGTTATTCCTACATGGAGTCTTCTCCATGGGCATATCTGGCATGCTTTGTGGACTCCCCTGACACCTGCCCCTTATGTCAACACAGAGATTTTGACATATACCACAAGTGTGCCAAGTTGCAGCCCCTTAACTGTTTCCTCAGGACCCTCCTGCTGAAGTTCTGGCTACAATTCTCACCACACCCTTTCTTTTATGCACGAACCATCTCTAGCCCCACCAAATCCTGGGACCTCCTGGTCAACCTCCTCTTGACTTCAGCTAAGTTAGTCATTTATCAGCCCAGGAAGGAGGCTCTGGCCAGGGGAAACCTAGGTGACTATGGGGCTGTCCTGCCCCTCATTCATGCATGTTTCAGAGCAGCTTCACTGGGTGTTGTCCAGTTCCTTGGACTCGGGCTCATGGGTGCTAGCCATGATGCCCTCAGCTTCCCTTGCCTTGGAGCATTCATTATTAACCTTTGACCCACACTCCTGTCCCTGTTTTTGCTTTAGTTGTCCCAAGTAATCAATTGTTATGTATCTAGTAGCCTCAGATTTAGGAAAGTTTATGGTTTCCTTGGTGGGCCTAGGCCCACATTTCTCTAGGCAAAACAAATAGGCCTGTCTCTGTCAGTGATGAGCGGGTGCTTTATAGGGAGGGCATTGAACCAGATATATCTAGGGTGA